AGAGAGAGAGTAGTAGAGAGAGAGAGAGAGAGAGAGAGAGAGAGAGAGAGAGAGAGAGAGAGAGAGAGAGAGAGAGAGAGAGAGAGAGAGAGAGACGAGAAGAGAGAGAGATAGAGAGAGAGAGAGAGAGAGAGAGAGATGGCAGATACTTATCTTATGGGAATCTTGGATTCTTGGATTTAACATTTTAGTGGAGATTAATTTGGATTTTACATTACCGTGATGTATTGTATCCCTTTTGTGTGGGAGTTGTTTTACATGGAGATCTAGAAATAAAGAGTGACATTGAATCCTTCTTTTGTGGGATTTGCTTTACATAGCTATAGAGATACAGGTTACTGAGTGTAGACAAATTATGGAAGTTGTGATTCCTTATCAAGAAATCAAGGGCCCCTGATTGATTTGTGCAACACGCACCCACATTTTAGGACAATGAGAAGGTAATATAGGTCAGTAATCATTCATCATCTCCTTGTCACAAAAGGGGAGCCACACTGTTTTAGGATGCTTAAATGTCAATTGGTTAGGGATATTAAATGATGGATTACCTTTAAGACAACTTTTTCTTTTTTAAATGTCAAACAAAGAAAATAGCAAGGAGTTTTTTTCATTATAACTTTCATTTAGGAGCAAGTATAGGCCTGCTTGTGATATTATATTATATGAAGTACTTTATTTTTTATTGCGTTTTGATGGATTATTTTCTACCACTATTCTTTCAATCTCGAAAATGTACTCTTATTGATTGTGTTCTTGTGCTATTATATGCTTGTATTTTGTATTTTTTTTTCTAAGTGTAGTATCTTAATTTAGGTACGAGTTGTGGCGGTTCCTGGTATTTCGATGGAACTATGTGGTGGCACTCATGTTAGCAATACTTCTGAGATACGTGGTTTCAAAGTAATAGCAGAACAAGGAATCGCATCTGGAATCAGGCGAATTGAAGCAGTTGCTGGTGAAGCTTTTATTGATTATGTCAATGTCAGGGATAATCTTATGAGGAATCTTTGCACCATTCTCAAGGTATGTCTTCATTGACCAGGTTAATTTATGTTTTCTCTATAGTATTTGATGCACTTTCTGTAAGAAAACCATCTATGGTTTTCCTTCCATACTAAACATAGCTTACTTCACTATTATGGACCCGAAAGACTAAAATTATTTGGTCAAAGTAGGTGCAGTGGTAGGAGTGGAAGATTGTTTCGAGGAGGATTTTTATCGATTGGGAGCATCAAAAGGGACCAAATAAGATAAATATACAAAATAAATGATTAATTGTCGAAGTAGGTGCAGAGGTAGGAGTGGAAGATTGTTTCTAGGAGGAGTTTTGTAGATTGGGAGCATCAAAAGGGACCACATAAAATAAATATACAGATATGGAGAAGTTCTAAGAATAAATGATTAATTGCAAACTTTTTGAAAAATATTTAGAAAAAAATTAATAAAGAATATCTTTAGTTATATTTACGTTCAATTTATTCAGATAAAATTTGAAGCTATAAATCATATTTATTTACTTGAGTTTTTCTCATATGTAAATCATTTTAATTTACTAGAGATATTTATTACTAAAAAAATACTAAAGATATTTATTTGGACGTTACCGGGACGTTATCAGCCAGCAAGGAGTTAACCTTCCTCTACAAGGAATGGAAGTGTGGATGAATCAATATTAAATAGAGGAATTCGGTTTTTCCACAATAACATGAGAAGAGCATCCCTTTCACAAAAACAAACCTAAGGACACCCCCCCCTCCCTTTTTCTCTTCTCTCTTTCCACTTCATTCAGCACCGTCTGATGTTTGAGAAGTATGAGCCCTATTGTTTATTTTTTTTTGTAGAGACCTGAAAATTCCATAGGCCCATAAGGATCAAGACGAGAATGAATCAATGAATCCTGGACATACTCATCCAGGAGCTTCTACAATCAATTTATTCAGATATAATTTGAAGTAATTAGTCATATTTATTTACTTGAGTTTTTCTCATATGTATATCATTGTAATATACAAAAGATATTTATTATGAAAAAAATACTAAAGATACTTATTTGATCTTACATTGGAAATGGGAACGAAGAATATTATTTCGGTCAAATCATTTACAGGTTCAACCATATTCTTCACATTTCCCCCTTCATTTCAAATTAAAAGAGAAAAATAAAGCATAAGGTAGATTGAGCAAATACTATAGAATACAGAGAAAAAAAAACATAGAGAGAGACCATTGATAGGGATCATTCTCCTTGTATGCATTTTAAAAAGATGGGTCAAAATCTCAAAACCATTCATGACAAATGTTAGACCCATTGCTTCCTACATTAAATGCAATTTTGGGAGCATTTGATTTAAAACATTCTCTTTATGATTGATCCAGATTTAATAATCTCTATTCATTTGAAAAATTACGAAACAAGGATTTGAATAGTTATTGTTTTCCTTTTTAATTGATATGCAATTATTGCTTTCTTTTTTATGGTGTTCTATATAATGTTTCTTGTTTTTAATTGATATGCTTATATTGTTTCTTTTCCCTTAAAATTATAAGGAATATGAGTGTGTTAAACTATTGAACAATGCTTAGTGGCTTGGGGTCATGCTCCCCTAATCTCGCATCACGTCTGGACCACGATCCTTCTCTTGGAGCGGGATCACATTCCGTAACTGGGAGAGTTCTTAGAATATCTTGGATTTGTGACTATATTTAAATTCAAGGTGTTGCTCCTCTGGAGACACAACTGTTATTGGATGGTGGCAATGGCATCCACAAAGTTGAAATTTTGGACGTAAATGACGAAAAGATTAACTATTCATGACTAATTGGAATACGAGATAGTTACTATCCCATCTGAAAAGTTAAAGTTCCATTTGGTTCAATTTGAATGCATAAGTATGTCGAGAAGATCCTTTCAATTGGATGTGGTCTTGAGCTTTTTTGTTTCGTAGTATATTAGGATGTGTGCTCTAATGTTTTTCCTAATCGGTTAGACATTTGACTCATTGATAGAACAAGTTGCATGTGTTACACCATAGCCTTAGTCATGTACTAAAAGGTACCGATATATATCTTGCACAGTGTAGTATTTTTAAAATTTTCACGATATACACTGACAAGTCCATTTACATGTGCTATTTAGTATTTACAATGTTTCTCAATGAAATGAATATCAAAAGCAATGCCGAAATAAGGTTACATGTTGTGAATATTAAAGTTTATAGTTGTTTCTATTGTATTTATAAGTTCCAAAGGACTTATTTGTCTTTTTTGTTATTTAAGGGCAATTTTTCCTTAAGAGCACTTTTGCACATTAGTAAATTTAATGATAATATATAGAATGAAAGAGAGGTAGCAATGTTAAAAAAAAGGATTCGAGTGCCTAGGTGGTTTGGGTGCCTGGCCGCCTGGACTGGGTGCCCTCACCAAAATCAAACGCCCCCCTCCCCCACCGCAAATATCGTCCAAGTGAGAAACAAATCAATAAATCACCAAAAAAATCAATCTTTTAACTACAAACATGTAAATATATCATATAAGAAGAAAAAAAAGTAAGAGAAAAAACATATGATTGATAACATAATATGTTATAGCGAAATAAAATCAAAACCTTTTTTCAACTATGATAATATTTTAAAAATATCAAAATTAAATCGATGTCGGTGCAAACCTCGTCTATTGAGTCACCAAAAGTTTACAAAATCAACTACTAGAAGCTCCAAATGCACCCACGAACTATTATATTGCCTTCGTTTTGGGAAGAAATTGAAAAAATAAAAAATTTATCGATCTTTTTATAAATCACGATAGAATGGTTTTTGAGGGGTTTTTCTCATCCTAAAGGCCATGGATTTTCTATTGGGGGTTTAGAATACCCCCTTAAATACTTTTCTCCCTCATTAAGGAGAAAAAATTGCATTTTTTACCGTCACTCAAGAGGTTTTTTCCGGTGCCTGCAAGTTGTCACAGCGCGGCGCCTAGGCAGGCGCCCAGAAGCAAAACGCATAATGCCCCTGCCCAGACTGGGCCTAGGCGTTTTTAAATTTTTTGCACTTAGGCAGCCACCTAGGTGGTTGGGCGGTCGAATTTTCGAATATTGAATAGTAGTTGGGAAAAGGCTTTGACAATGTTGATGATGATATACAATGGAAGAGAGGTGTGTGGGGGTAAGATAGACCCATCATGACCTCCTCTCTCTCTCGCTCCCCCACACACACATAAAACACAACACTTCTAAGCCTCGTCATTCCTCTCTCTCTAGACCTCTTTCCTCATTTCTTTCTTCTTTTTCCTTTGATTATTGTTGTATATTTTAATTATACACACTTATTGCCAGAAACACACTCTCTTTTTATTTTATTGCACAGGAAAAATACAGCAATAATAAATAAAGTAAAGAACAATTGTCAAGAACTAGGGGAAGCCATTACCACAAAGGATACATTGAATCATCTTCAAAGGACTTGATACACTGCACTTTGGATCACCTGAATTGATGATGCACCAATCTTATTCTTGGCTGTTATATCCTCTGAGTGGGAAGCAAAAGATGGCAAAAATCTCAAGTAAGATATGTAAAGAGCATAGGATACAATTTAGATATGGATCACGAAGCTAGAAGGCCCCTTTGGGTCACTCTTGGGCTAGAGAGAAAAGATTAGGGTTATGCATGGCTGTTTTAGCGAGTGTGTGGCATGGAGGTCAAGGAAGAGAGAGGGAGAGAGGTTTGCCTAAGATGTGTTAAAGGGTGGAGTGAGGACCCCTATTAGTGATGCCAGGTCTAGGGTTTAGCTATCCTAGGGGGGAGCAATCTAGGCCATAGATTTGCGCTGGGTTGTAGGTGCAGAGAGGCTTTTAATCTAAGTCCTATTTCTTAAAACAACTATCATGATGGAGGAAGGATTTAAAACCTTTATCCTTTAGTTTTCGTAACCCATCTCTTTTAATTCTAAAATTTCCTACAGAAAACAAATATTCTTTGAGACTTCCTAAAATCTCTAGAAAGGAAATATTCTCTTTCTTAACTTTCCAAAAACTCCCTTAAATATTTTATTAATCTGCTAGAGAAAAAATCTCTACCTCACTGACTAAAAATCATCTCAATCAAATAAAATCTTCTAGAATACAAATCTCTGCCTCACTTACTAAAATTTATTTCAATCAAATACAAATTTCTGGAAGGCTCATGTGTGGGATAGGAGGATGGGGTGAAGAGTGTAGGCCCTGTCATGCTTCCAAAGAGGACCCTCCACGTGTTGGCCCTTGGTTGTACCTACTCCAAATGAGTAAGACCTTTCAAATTTTTATAAGACAAGTTATTTTTACTTTTGATTTGCTGAAATTTTTTTTATTTTTGAATAGAAATTTATAAAAATAAATATATCTTGATAAAAAAAGTTTAATGGGGAATGATTTCATGCAACGGTTGTATAGTAATATAATGCAACCCATAGTTATCGGAATGTCTCCATCGACCTCTCGTTTTTGGTTCCGAAACCCGATTCCGCGTTTTCGTTAAGGAATCTTTATGGAAACCGTTTTTTGCAATCAGCGAAACTCGATTCCTTATTTTCAGAATCTTGATTCAATACATCTTTAGAAACCATTATTTGGAACCCAGGAAACTCAATTCCTTAATTTCGAAATTTCGATTCAACAATTGTTCAAAAAGCGGAGCGCCTAGGCGGTCCAGAAGGCTTGGGCGCATCGCCCAAGCCTAGGCGGTGGTCCCTGGGCGACCGCCTAAGCGGTACGGAACTCGCCTAGGCGGCCAAACTGGGCGGTGGTCCCTGAGCAATTGCCTAAGCGGTACGGAACCCGCCTAGGCGCCGCCTAGCGCCCAACGTTGGGCAGCCGCCCAGTGCCTACGCCCCGCCTAGAGGTGGAAAAATATATATTTTTTTTTTTCTGTTTTTTTCAAGATATAAAAGTTTAGAAATATGGGTTTTAGGTTAATTTGAAACCTAAACCCCCAAGAAACCCTTTTAGAGAGAAAGAAAACTCCCAAAAACTACATTTCATTGGATTGA